TTACCTGCCGCATATACACTACAGGCAATTGCCATGCAGGGAGATGTGACATAGGCGACGCCAACTGGGCCTGGTAGTGCAATCACTACTAGGGTAGTAAGTACCTACAAACCCTATACCGACAGTCCCCGTTAAACGCATCGATGGACTTGGTTTCGCCCTGCCCAGCTCTCATCTGTGGTCCCACGGCGGTCACGCACCGCAAAACTTCTTTTGACCAGTGGGCTAAGTCAATTAAAGATGTTCGGCATGCGTTGGTCTTCACATTCCCAACCTCCCTCTCCACCCCTCAAACAAAGAAGCCCTCCGAATAAGGCGATATGCAATTTCATAGGACATTCAGGATAATTCAGGTCGTCTTCCCACTAAACAAATGCCATGAACCACAGTGGAATTTGGCAGCTGCATGAGATGGATACGTAGCCCTGTCTAGGGGTAGAAATGTTTGCCCGCTCGAGGGAGTAGAGTCAGAAAGTTGCCCCATACATTGACGATAAAGAACGCCGTCAGCAAGCTGGCCATGACCTTGGACGCAAAAGTGCGGTCGAGAGAATATACAAAACAACAACCCCCATCGCCGGACCTCCCGGTAGGCTGCCAGAGCGACACTGCTCACTGCCAGGGAGAGAGTGCTCGCTCGCCGTCGGATTGGCGGCTGTGTAGCGGCGGCTTTGGGGACGGGCAGGTCCTACCCATTGCGACCTCCGGGCCCGATACCGAATGGAAAGTGGATTGATTGGGCACCAGTTGTGAGGGTATTGTATTTTGTGCTGAATGATTGGAGTACAGATTCGAACAATATGACACCCGGACGAGAAAAAACGCCCGGCGCCGCGAGAGCGGGCTTCCTCACTGACAGTGGGGCATGCGTTACAGCGCCCTGAGAGAGAATATGTCTGAGTCGCCCTTGAAGGCGGTTGGCCAAAAATCTGGCTAACACACGTACGCACGATAGGAGCAACGTTGCGGCAGGCACCCGGAGTATGGCCTCTACATATACGTACACATTCAGGAAAATTCAGTCCGTGTCCGTATCTTTTCTGCTTGACAATTTCTAAATCGCACTGACTGTCTACTGTGGGACTGGCTGCAAAAAAGGATCACCATTAACTCCATGATGTCGAAAGGCTGCTGATCAAACCTTCGCTGACAGTGGACGATTAGAAAGCGCCCAAACCAGCGATCCAGAACCTCTGACTTCTCCGATAGCAGTCCTGTCCCATACGAACTGGGTAACTGTAAGGTGCCGGTAGGCTACGGGTTAGAAGCCATCTTCTTGACCTGAATTACTGCACTCCATTCCGATCAGCGTACTCGAGAAATGCCTCTGTTCTGCAGGTTTTCTGCATACGGTGAAGTCTCGATGGTAGGGTAAATGCATCTTTCTTTTCTCTGGGGTAGCAAATAAACAAATTCCCTTCTTTTTCATCGAACCAGTCTTCATGTCCTCTGAATTACAATGTATATCCAGGCGGTTGCGGGGAAGAAGCCGCTGCGCTGAACACAGCAACGTGGAGGCAGGGGTTGGCATCCGGTGGGACCAGAGTGAAATGACTACCTTCTGCGGCTAGACCTTTTGTACGACTAGTAACCCGTCAATACCCGGCCCTACCTCGAAGCTCCCGCGCAAGTAGTTCATCTGTTGTAAGCAAGAGAGACTTTTGCCGTCTCGGGGTGGTGCCGGTAACTTAACTCTAATACGACTCGCGTAAAGGAGTGTTGCGACATCTACCCCCACCATGCTGCCCACACCCATCGTGTTCCAGTGAAAAGCAACTGCAAATGAACTTATCCGCAGCAGCGAGCCTCCCAAAAAGCTTTATTTGTGCAGCACGAACTCGGGGTAGAGTCTCCACACCTTTTACGACAGTGGCCCCCTACGGACTTGCGCGTGACACATTCTCCTGACCGGCACCTCCCATCTACCGATGCTGGGGAGGGCGACGTGGATGTGTACACGCTCGCGTCACCGACATCTGCTGGACCAGAGTGACGCGCTCGTGACTGTGGAGATGTGCGGTGTCGAGTACTAGACGGATTACCACATTGACACCACCAAGGTGAGCCTCCAACTGCAACTGCGCAGGTGATTGCAAGATAAGTTAAAGTTAGGTAGGGCAAATAACCTGGTACGGCCGAGTACCGATTAAATGTCAGCAACTGTATAACTCGGAAGAAATGTAAACCCTGGAGACGCACACTAATGTCGAAGCCCAGCGGGGTACCATCTAAGCCACCGCGCTGGGGACTCTTGGCCGTGCACGCCGTCAGCACTAGGGTTGGTTTGACGGCAATGACAAGTAAATCCATACTCACCTCTCCGAGAATCGGAGGCTGCACGCGACCCACACCATCAATAGCAACGATGGCTGGTTCTTAAAGCTTAGCAGATGCGCATATGTGTCGACCGTCGCGAGGTAAAGGACTTCCTCGTTGGTATTACCGATAAAGACAAGAGAGACTGAAATGGCCATTTCTGGCTTATTAGCCGTCGTCAGCCAGTCATACCCAATCCCCGAATTGTGGAACACTTGGGGCTCGATCCCGCGACCTCTAGGTTAGAAGTCCTACGCCTCTAACCACTGAGCCACTGGCTCGTTTTCCTGCGATTGCGATCAAGAATATAGAATGACAGAGGGACGCCCACCGATCGTTTTTACGGAACTCACTCGTTCCATTCTTCCCATATCACGCGCCTCTGTGCGGCTGCTGGTTGGGCACGAGAGAGGGCCTCAAGGCACAATGAGACGAGTGGGTTCCGTAAAAACGGTCGGTAAGCACCCCTCTACCATTTTTTTCGCTGCCATTAGGGTAGCCTGTGGTCCACGAGCCAAGGGACCGCGTAACTGCTGGACCAGGGTGGAGCAACCCTCTTGACGGGGAAGTCACGGACCCTGGAGAGCTGGGTTCAGCACTTCCAGGGTCGTCTAGATTATCTACCCACAACCTGCAAAGAAACCATCAGCCGAATTTTCCAAACGGTCCCCCTCCTCCATTTTCTCGTCCTGAGACAATCAGAGCAGTGAAGGAACCATGCAGTGGAAAATCACCTGGAGCAGAAGCAGTCACAGCCAACGTCCACAAACACGGCGACCCATGACTCATGGAAAGTTCACCTCATTTGAGAGCATCGTTTGAGAGCATCTTTGAGGATATCCAGGGCCACGACCTATTGTTTGCGAACGACTGCGCGCAAAAATACCACGACGGGAGAGTATATGCTGCGGAATGCAGACCTCTTTGCCCACAGCTGCTCCAGCTTTGGAACCACCGTCAGCACGGAGAAAGAAGTGAACCTGCACCGGCTGGCTCGAAATACTGGCTACACCCGCTGTCAGCCAGTCATAACCTTGGCCACTGGCTGGTAGTAGAAGTACAAACACACACGGCGCAGATGGTCACCAGCGGGGTCTACCAGATGGACCATAAGTACTTCGTCAAACCGAAGTTCACCAGTTCCTCGCCATCTGTCATTCTCTGCGGAAAAAAAATCGTGCAGTACCAGAGATGCCGTGTTCAACTTGTAATATCGACCTTTATGCGCGCGCATGAGTGATAATTGGGAGAAAGAGGGGAGATCACCTGTCCCAAGTGGCTGTGTGCAGTTACGATACTGGACACACCTTTCCTTGGGTCAAAGCTCGCTTTCTTGGCGTCTGCCAATCCAACAAAGGCCAACACAGACGCATGACTCACGCCGTATGCAAAAATCTCGAGGGATAGAAGAGATGACGGGCTACAGAGACCGCTCACTGGCACAAATGATGCGCGCGTATGGGCTTTTCGGGCACGTTTAAAAAGTTAGCTGCTTTAACTAAATACTTAATTGTGACAAACTTGGCGGCGTCGGTGAGATTCAGACCTACGACTGTAAGAGCACGGCTAGAATACATCCAACGATCAACCAGACCACCTTAATTCCTCTTGCCTGGCAGTCATCTAGTGGATTTTAGACTGACTGCTTACGAAATCCTGTTTCAGTAGTCAGTCTACTGTGTCAGGATTGAGTGGATTTCACATGATGTAGTAGGTTGAGCAGGTAGTTTAGTCAAAATAGGGGAAACCTGGAGGTCATTGGTCGGGAATTTTAGCTCAGATGATCAGAGCTTTGGTTGCAATACTGGATTGCCCCTACCTGTTGGTGGTGGAGGACTCAGCTATGGCAGATGACAATGCGAACTGCGATCGGTTAGTCCAGCTTTTTGGCTTCATTCACACATCGCTGTTTTACATCAGCTTTTTGCGGTTCAGACAAGTGCAGGAGCAAAACTGAGAAAAAGAAGTAGTCCGAGCTTCCATGTTGCGGTTACTTTATGCACAGTGAATCAGTTTTTCCATGTTGGCTCCTCATACGTATTCCTAAAGGAGGTGACTTCAAAAAGTATCCTTCCAGAAAACATGTTAGACCCACCACAACGGTGGCAGTCTTCACCTCCAACCATTACCAATCATGGAGATATGCACACTGGCAAAGCTGCAGATGGCCCCAGAAAATACGGAAGTATTTTCGGTCTGACGGCTGGACAACAAAGGCCCCGGAGAGCAAGCCACTTGACGCCGAGGCAGGCGTCGACAGCGGGGGCGGCATCGGCCACGCCCGACTCCCGAAGCTTGGGCGCGCTCGACGAGGCCTGTCTGTGTGCCTGAATCCCCGCGTGCTTTGCAGGTGTTCGCGTGTCGACGCGGCCGGCTGACGTCTCGTCGACCTATTGGATGAGCCGATTCTTAGTCAGACACTGACTATTCGTCGGCGGGCGCGACAACTCTCCTGAACCAATCAAAACACCTAAGCGCGATACCTAATCAATGTCACGCGTTCTCGCCACACGTAGGCGCGCGCGTAAGCCCTCACTTTCCACGGATTGTCTCCACCACCGCTGCGCTTGGTGTCGTCTCTGTGCTCGGCCTGTTTGAGGGTGGATTCCTATCTGGTTTGCAGTCAAATGTTGCCTAACGGCGGCAATTAATTCCTACACAAAACGGACATTGACAAAAGGATTATGGCTAATTCCGTATCTCCTTATCCAACAGATGGGCTTTCTGGCAACTGTTACGACGGACTAAGTGCTGTCAATGGTCTGATTGTTGATGGAGCCTACCTGGATGGGTCGTGGGAACTGTGCGTTCACGTCGAGGACGTAAACAGCGATGTCAGCATGCGAGTGCGGGGTGATATGAGCCTCGGCGGCCTGATGCATCTGATCGTTGAGTCAATTGATGTCAAACAGTCCTGGTCCGACCACGCCATCTGGTGGCCTCAGAGAAACATGTGGCTCCTTCACACACGGACTTCACTTGATCAGTACGGTGTACAATCTGATGCTCGATTGGTTTTCCGTCGGACGCATGGGAACTTGCAGGTCGTCCTGCCATCCATGGCGACGCTAGTCTTGCGTGTTAACTTCGCCAGTCGCGTTTTCTCCGTAGTAGAGTCCATCTGCAAAGAGTTGTGCATCCGTCACCACGAGGAATTGTCCCTTATGTTCCCGATTAAGCGTGAAACCCTCAAGAGCAACTCACCTTTACCCGTCATTCGGCATGGCGTTAGGAAGACTGGTCCGCTTACCGCTATTGGCAGCGCGCGCTCAGACATGCCGTCGGTCCACAATGGCCTCGGTGGGGCAGTATCCACCATTCGCTTAACCGGTGAACCTGCCTCACCAAATCCCTATGCGACCCTGCCATATGGTTCTGCTACGCTTATGCGTCGCCAGTCAGACAATTCCTTGGACGAAGAACGGTTGGATATTGCAAGCTTTGCAGACTGTGGCCAGCGGCGGCCAGCTAAAACAGTGTTTGCAGAGGAGTGGCTTTTGAAGCCGAAAAATGTCCAACAGAAGGCCCGGATGGATGGCAGTTGGTTGGACTCCTCTCGCTCCCTCATGGAGCATGGCGTCGAACCTCCACCCCTCGTCGGGGGCTGTGCTGAAAGCTCCAAGCCGCCCACACTGTATCTTCGTTTTAAGTACTACAGCTTCTACGATTTGAATGTGAACTATGACGCCGTGCGTATACACCAACTCTATGAACAGGCTCGTTGGTCCCTTCTGTCTGGAGGCATCGAGTGCACGGAGGACGAGATGGTCGTTTTTGCATCTTACCAGTTGCAAGCGGAGCTGCAGTCTCAGGCAGCCGCCAACTTTAGTTTCCCAAATTTTCCCAGTGGCACTGGTACTCTCGCCCATTATGCCACTGTTGGTGGCGGTGGGTCTGCTAACTTTAACACTTTGGGATCTACGTATGAAACTGGTGGTTTCAGTCCAATGACCCCGGACTACACTCTGAACAGTCGCCTCGCATCTCCGCGTTCAGCTGGTGGTTCTCTAATGCGTCTGCCAAGTCTGGGTGTGGTGTCACCCATTCGCCCCCTTAGTCCTCTCCTGGACTCCCCTCAGCGTTCACCTTTTCCGGAGGAAGGAGAAACGGAAGACATGGATGAGATTGACTATCTGTTAACGAATCTGGAGCAGTCCTGTAATGTGACTCGTGACGTGTCAAATCGTAAGGGGACAAACAGACCTAATGCTCCTGAAGACAGTGTGGACTCAACTATACCCGTCTTACAGGACTTCATCAAGGTTTTCCGAGACCGAGTTCTTATGATGCGTCGCTACAAAGAGATGTGGGCGGTTGTCAGGAATGGCAATCTTTACCTCTACCAGGACTCTCGCAATACGAGCACGCCAAACGCCGTCTACGCCCTTCGTGACTGTCTGGTTAACCCAGACGTGAACTCAGCCAATATGCGCTTCGATGTACGGCTTTTGCTAGTTGCTGATCCAGATTCGGCCTCGGCTGCTCTTGGCACCGCTACCACTGGGCGCAAAGGAAGAGCCAGGGAGGAGATGTACCTGCGCTTCCATTCGGCAGAACAGTATGCCAAGTGGGTTGCCGCCTTTCGACTGGCGGCACGCGGGAAAACTCTATCTAGCAGAACAACCTACGACCGCGAGGTAGAGCTAAATCTGGATCTAATCAGGAAGCAGGCCTCTCGGCCCGTGCCTTCTCTCAGCCCAACTGATCTGGCAACCCACTTGGATGATCTGACGGACTACTGTGCTGAACGCATCATCAGGAAGGCCAAGTCCAAGGAAGCCCTTCGACAGCGTATCAGTGAGACTCATGCCGAGTTGCGAGACCTCTCTCTTCTAGATGCCAAGCTCAGATATATTCAAGACTGGCAACGGCTGAATCACTTCGGTCGTTCCTACTTCATCGTGCAGTTCGATAAGGGCAACAGTTTCGGTCTAGGCGTTGGGAATTCAGGTCTCTTTGCTAACCCATCACCGCCAGAGGACATTATCGCTGTCCGTCAGGGTCGCATCGAGGTTGTCTCGTCAACTTCCGAGGAAGCCATAATGGCTTGGAATTTCACCAATCTGCGCTGTTGGAATGTGAACTGGGACAATGGACGAGTGGTTTTGGAGTTCAGGAACGGCAAGGTCTCCTTCAGGCCCCTCAGTGCCAACTGCAAGACCGTTATGGAGTGTATCGGAGGTTATGTGTTCCTGAGTCAACGTACACCGGAGAAGAACCAAACCATCGATGAACGCGTCTTTCACAAACTCACGGGTGGCAATGATTAGGCCGCATTTTTTTTCTTCGTGCCTCTTCAGGCGAACGGGTGTTTGCCCTGAGATGTGTGCTTCTTGCCAGTGCGTCCGTTGTCTTTCCTGGCCATACCCCCACGCTATCCACAAATCGGAGGATTTTTTTGTCATATACATTACCGCCGTTATCTGGTGTCGAAACTCCCTGATGCAATAACTTGAAGTATGTAGATCCATCCACTTCGCCCCTTTTCCCAAAAACACGCTGGCCCCCCACACCTTAAGCTTTTATAGATGCTGGCACGCAACACGCGGCAGTTGGTCCGTGTCAGTCGGAGATGACTGTACACCCACACATTGATCATGCCTTCTTACTGCGCGCCGACTGCACAAGTGTACACTTGCCTCTGCGGCTTCCAATTGCACTTAGGTGATTGCTTGCTTTGCGGCTTTCCTCTTAAAAACCCATAGTTTCGCGAAAGAATTCCGGCCCTCCCCCGGGTTTTACCCTGTGTTTGCGCGCTCTTGTTTCGGAACTCTGTTCGACCCTATAGGCGTGACAGCCTTGAAACTCTGAGGAAGAAGTCGGTGAGGAACTCCAAAGAGTCCTATTTTTTCTTATGTTCCTTGACCGGTCACCTGTTTATTTGCTACGTTTTTAACTAATTCCTCATCGGTTTTGCGAGAATGTGTCTGCTGTTAAATTATCTCTTGAGTCGACTTTGTTAATCGTTTTCCTTGTAGGTAAGGGTTGGCAACGAGTAAAACCGTGGGGAATTAAAATTGCATGGGATTTCCGTCCACCGATCTGACCTGGTTCTAGGCTGTTGCTCCACTTTGTCTTAGCCCTCTAGTATCCTTGCAGATGGTTCTATAACGACGAGCAGAAATATAATCCGGAGAACGACGAATAAGTCAAGACCGATCCTTGTAGTCATCACTAAGCTTATACTCTGGGAGCTTATGGGACAGCTGCACTTTTTGGGTGGGAGGATTTCCGGCGACTTCATCTCGGCCGAAGTTTTCCATCATTTTGCGAGCTTTCAGGCTTTCTAGACCATTGCTGTGGACGCCGGAAGGACCTTCAGCCCGTCGAACCGTCTTCTAGGGTCTTGTGCATATTGCAGGAGAGAAAAACGAACCGGACGATGGGACGAGTGAAGCCATCAGCAATAGCGTCGGGTAGGGCCTGTAAACTTCGACGGCAAGGATGGAGAAGTTGTGGTCCCTCCTTAGTTAGCTGGTTCGAATATCCTCTCAATCACCAGCAATCCTGTGCCATATGTTTTTGTGATTAAATGCAAGAATCCCGACTTGATCGACGGCGTTCTGCGTAGCTTTTGAACTCATAAGAAGTGGCAGGTTATGCCATCATTACGTGGTATCACCAAACCGAATGCTTGCCGGCTTTGTCTCGCGTCCAGAAAAGCGCTTTCTTCGTTCGTTTTGCCACTTGTCCTCCAGCGCTTCCTTGGGGACAAATTAGGCAGACAATGAAAGTCGTACAAAAATCTCCCTAATTGATAGCAGATTGTGCAGAAAGCAGTGGCAAGCAACCCGGCTGGCTCCAAATTGCCAGGTTTCGGATATCCCTCCAGCTGACTGGTTTTGACTTTAATTTTTTGCGCGGTCAAAGGCATTCCAACAACCGTTCATGAGACTACGTAGCGATGCTGCTTTACTGCTAGCACGTGTTTTTGCGTACTTAGTGTTTGTTTGTCAGGCTCGTAGAACAGTTGATATGGCAACTAGTCACTGTCATATTCACCCGCCGTAGCGGGCACTTCGGCTGCACGTGTAGGCGATAGATCGTTGCTTTGGGCCTGTGCCCGAGATCCCGATAGTCGAGTGTAATGGCGAATAAACCACAGGAAAGGCTGGCTAGACGTACATGTGGGTCTGACAAGAAGAGGGTAGTGGACTGTGGAAAACATGTGAGTAGCCCATCAGGATAGGTGGTGAACAGTTTGGGTCAGTAGTCAACGGTTCGAGGAGGCCTGCTTAGAGTTAAGGTGGGCGCAAGAGGAGGGGGTCATCTACCAGCGCGGGAGTACCCGCCGGAGTAGTGCGAGGTCGATCACGTGACCCAATAGTTCCCACGCTCTGGCTTCCTGCAAATTGCCGCAGCCTCCGAGCTCCACAGGAGGTGGGACATCCCCGCGCCCGAGCGGACCTTGGCTCGAATTTTGGGTGCTCACCGTGAGCAGTGCTCAACGAGGGCTCTGTAGCAGATTCCTGCCCCAGCGGACATTGGTATGTACACAGCTATCGTGTTCTCAACTTTACTTGAATCCAATATTCTGCACGCGTAACTGCCTGTACATTCACAAACACAATAGAACGTAGCTCTAATGGACCAGTCATCTCTAATTAGTCTGGCTAGAATGGTTATGGTAGAGGCTAAGAACACAACTTCTCGAGCGGTGTACACTTGTATAATCATGCTACCGGGTCTTCGTTTGGTCCTGCTGGAGACAATCTCCTTTGAGTGAGCGGCAAGTGTTCACAGATCCCCTGAGAGTTCGCACCAATACCACCACCTCCACTTTCGTGAGGTGGCATTATCCTTCAGTGCATTTCCCGGACACCCGTAACTCCCTAGGGTGCCCATGCAGAAACTGATTTTGCCCTCCATCGCACCGGATGGACATTCTATTGGTCTGGCTAAGGAGACAGAACAACGTTCCTCTTTTCTGTAAGTTAGGGCAGGCTTAATGATGTACGGGTACTGCCGTTTCCACTTAGCCTTCGGACAGATGGGCCTCTGGACGGTTCTGTTTTCGCATCTACGTACGAGAACACCCAGGAAAGCTAGCCGGTCGTTTTCTTGGGGTTTAATGGTAAATTTAGTTTGTGGTATTCGGCAGTAACTCATCATTCCCCGGCTCGTTTACTACGGCGTCGATATCATTCATATTTAACCTTGAAAATGTGCCGTTATGGTCTTTTTGGTCGTTCACGCTTGCTGTACAAATATACTAGGCCGTCAGCATCGGAATGGGAGATTGAAATGTTTGATGGCGTCACTAGGCCCTCTTCACATTTCTTGAAGGCCTCAAAGTCTAATATAGTCGCCTCCCATCAGCCTTCTGATGGTTCCATCTCACCCATTAGGATGATTCAACGATATTTATGTGAAGTGACACGAGAGAGGCCGGTTGCCCCCAGACGGAGTCCTCTGAGTTGTCCGTGACGTTTGGTTTTGAGTATGGCTCACCCGAAAACGATGAAGTCCACTAGGCCTGCGTCTCGGGGGTTGTAACAGGATTCCTGTTAAATCAGTCTCATGCGGTCGGCCGTCAGTTGCCTGAGGTAAGGGCTGTGGGCGACAGAGCTGATGGTTGCCTCTGCCAGTATGTTAATTACTTATTAGTGCAAGACACCTAGACGTTAGCATTTTACAGTTAAGGAAAACAGTTAGTGAAGTCTTGGTGAGGACGACTGGCCTTCTGACCTCACTGAAACTTGCAAAGACCAGAGTGACCTGGTGGCTTAGGAGCAGTCGGGTCCACACGAGTGCATGGACTTAGCCGTGCCAATTGCCGTCTTGGATCGTTACGCTGAACGATCCATGCAAGTAGTCAGGTCGTCGTATGATGCTTCTTGTTTATTGAAGTACCAGGTCGGCAAGTACTTACTTTTGGATGCCGAAATTTAGTTGTAATCGCGATCAATCTGTTGGCTTCATCAACGTCGAGAAACCCATCGCACTTCTCACTTCGATTATTGTCTGAAAACCTGACGAGAACATGTCAAGCTGGTCGATGGCCTCTGTAATTGATTACTGACTCTGAGACGCAAGGCCACCTGGTTTTCTAAAGTCGGCGGAAAATGGGACTGTATTTTCCCCCAAACTGAAGCCCTTAGGCACTACCTGCATCGATCCAACCTCGTAGGCTGTTAGAGGGAGGAGACTAACACTAGTGGTGAAGAAAATATCTGGCTGTCGCTTCGTCTTTCTTGTGACTTACGGAGCGTTTTCTACGAAGATATCGAGCAGTATAACGTGGGCTTCAGTAGTTTGTTCTGTTTTGCCTTCTCAAAACGTCACGAATTAAGTCCTGTTCTCCCACAGACTTAAGGAGGTGGAGGAGCGAATTGGCTCAAGTTGGACGCGTATGAACTGATAGAGAATAAGTCCACTTGCATGGTTCGTTCAAAGATACCATGACTTATGAGGATAGTACTGTTTAGAAGGATGGCGGCCATCGCACGTCGGTGGCAGGCAGATGCTGTTTACTATGCTATCCTCCGATTCTACTCATTGTTCACCGACAACTATTCCTCACTGTGATCAACCGCAGGACGTATTATCGCAAGGACAGCATTGTCTTCGTACCGGGGCCTCAGCAACTGGCGACATGACTGTCGTAGATACAAAACTGGTAACGAGCGGACGCGGACGCATTTCTTACTTCTTTAGCAAGCCGCGGGTGGTCTGCACCCCCCTAAGGACATCTTTTTACGTCCCCGTCACAGCATTGGTCAGTTAGTAAGAAAACAATGATAAATTCCGCACAATTTTGCCCTTTTTCGTGATTACTTGATAACCTAAAACTGATATAGAAAATATAAATGCCAACGTTCCCCTTTTTGTACCTACTGAACTCCCTACTTGGCACCTAAATTGACAATTCGCAGTGAGCTGGTTGACTTTCCCTTACATACTGTCATAGCCATTATAGTCTAGCATTCTAAACGGTATTCCAAGTCCAAAAACTCATGAAGAGTCGCTGACTGTAGTTATGAGCGTGTAATCACAGAGTCTATGGCCGATTGGGTCCTGATACTGTAACTGTCCTTGCTATTTCAGAAAGAAATACGACTCAGGTATGGACGACGTTGAGACGTCTTTTCTTTTTTATTTTAGGATCTATCTCCACTGGTATTTCTTAGCAAATAGGTGTTTTGACGGATTTAAATAATTCAGTTGACCCAACTGTGAAAAAGTTGGCGTCCTCAGGTGGCATTCTAATCCATGACAGCAGAGTCAAGGCTTGAGCACAACCAACGCTCTAACCATCCGTTCAGTGGAT